ATTTAGATGAGATATAAAGAATAAATAGAGGGTGGAGAGACACTGGAACAGGCAGCACAGAAAAGTTGTGGATGCCCCATCCCTGGAAGTGCTCATGGCCACGTTGGATGGGGCTTTGAGCAACCTGGTCTAGTGAAAGGTGTCCCTGCCCATGGCAGGGTGGTTGGAACTAGATAATGTTTAGTCATCCCTTGCAATCCAAACCATTTTATGATATATTCTGTGATGATAGTTAAAATTAAAAACTCCAAATTAATCTAAGAATGTTTTCCTCCAACTGTGTAAATTAGAAAATAATTTTGATATGTGCAATATGCATTTTATTTTCACAATTTGAAGCTGCGAGTTTAAATATCCAGACTCCTCAGGAAAGGCTGGATTTTTGTTTAGCTATGAGTTTCATTCTTTCTTATATGTTTATAATGCAGAGTGGTTATTTTTTGGTTCCTCAAAAGGTAGCTGTCTATTAGAGCAGATTGTCTAGTTGCAAGTAAATTGTCTTGACCCACAATCACAGTTGTTTTCATGTGACATCTAATAATATTGCGTTGATATTTAAATTTAGAGCCAAAAATCAGCAGGTCCCAAACTCTTCTGTTTCTCATTTCATTTGTAGACAGATAATATGGCTCCTCAAGTTCTAGCATAAATATCAAAAGTAATGTCTGTCAGGCTCACCATCCTACTTGTGATCAATGAGACTTCTGTTTGGGAAGCCATTATTTCAAGAAATTGCATTAGGGATTGTGAGAAATGACTGCTCACTTTAAAATTTTAAAGATTCTTTAAACTTTAACAACACAACAAAGGACTGAATAACGAAAAAGGGACAGCGCTGGGAGAATGGCTGACTGCCAGAAGCTCATCCACAAAATGGCTGCTGCACCTTTTATACCCCTGGTGTTGCATCAGGCAACCCTGGCCCCTCCCAAAGTCTGCCAGTCAACTCTTCTTTGCTATCCATTGGTGGAAACCTTCTTGCAACTTCATTGGAGGTGAGATGTTCCCCATTCCCAACTGCCCCATGCAAGGGACATATGTGCATGCTCTCTCTCCACATGTCCCTGACAACTAAGGCTGTCTGGTGGCAACAATACAGTAGGGGGGAAAGGGGACTATGGGGAGAACAAAAGGTGTCCAAACAACAAACTATGTAAGATAACCATACATAAACAAAATTTCTCTTAACATACACACAATATTCATCCCTTAATTTTGAGTGCTAATCATCATATTAACCAACTATAACAGGATTTTTGAAACTTGGTAATGGACCAGACTTTCCGCACTGACATCTTTTTTCCTAAAATGGTGTCTCGGCATCAATGTGGGGTGACCTGGCCCTGGGGCTGGCTCAGGCTTTGTGCTGCTGACAGAGTTTGCAAAATTTACTCCAAAACAGTTTCAGATTGTGAAATTCAGGTTTTTGAGTTGTTTTTTTTTGTGAGCCCAGAAGAACCTACTTGAAACAACCTCTGAGGAAGTCAAGCCTCTGCCTTCAGCAAAAGCCACCAGGGAAAGAGAACTTGGCTTAGTGCTCCAACTTTGTAAAGAAACCCTGGCAACCTCCGACTCTGTTTCCAGCCGCAGAACTGGGTCTTAAGGAAACAACAACAATCTTGGACACAGATAGATATGGAATACAATAGAATTTTTGTTACCCTGAAGGGGTAGCTTTTAAGTAAGTTTAAAAGCTATTTATTTATTTATTTATTTAAGTATTTATTATTTATTAATTTTTAAAAGCTTTTAAACTTACGTAAAAGCTGTCTGAGAATGCTGAAGTAGTTTAAGGCTAAGGCTAAGTTAAGGTTACTAACACACAATTGCAGTACTTAATTTTCTGTTGGTGGGTTTTACTTTTTTGCTTTTGTTTAGGGTTTTTTTGGTTTTTTATTTGTTTTGGTTGTTTTTTCCTAAGTGAAATTTTAAGTAAGCTGTACTTGTGTATCTTCTTCAGAGTGGAAGCTGTACAATTCACAGCTGGAAGACCCCTAAATATTTGGGGTTGCCTAGCATTCCTAGCAAGATGCAGAATAAATTTGATAATTTTGTATTAGTGGAAGAAGTACTGGACAAGATTATCTCTGAATCTTTCAAAGTGCACATTTGCAAGACCCTTGGGTCAGTAGTCTGCTGTCACTGTGTTTGTCTTTTTGTCTGTACTTCTGTCATTATGCTTGTATGGTAATAAATGATGGTACTGGAAGGACTAAGAGAGGGTTCCATTGCTTCCATGGCTGTACTTGAGAATTAGACAGTTTTTTTGTACTTAACCATTTCTGCAAGGAGAACCAAATCTGCATGCTAGAATGTTTGATCTTGTGTAAGGTATTGTATTTGGAGCTGGAATTAATTGTCCTTTGGAAGCTCTCACAGTGCTGTGCTTTTCATTGGTAGCCAGAAGGTGTTGACAACACACCAGTGTTTTGCCTGCAGCAGAACTGGCACACCATCAGTGCTGCGCTCTTTAACAATTCCCTCATATCCTCCTCCCATCAAATGGGCTGGGAGTGGGCAGTACCCTGGAAGGGGACACACCTAGGCAAAAATAGCTGACCCAAGTTAACCAAAGGCGTATTCCAAACCATATGATGTCATCTCAGATATAAAAGCTATGGCTAGGAAGAGGAATGGGGGCGTTTGTTATTTTACAATGTTTGCCTTCTGGAGCAACTGCTTTGTGTGGAAGTCCTGCTTTCTAGGAAGTGGCTGAACATTACTCTCTGCTGGAAGGTGGAGATTACTCCCCCCCCCCCCCCCCCCCCCCCCCCCTTTGCTTAAGCACACAAACTTTCTTTTTCTTCTTGCTTTAATAAAGTGCCTTATCTCAACCTTTTCCATCTTATTTTTTCTCTCTGGTATCCTGCTGGGAAGGGAAGTTAATAGAGTGGCTTGGTGGGCACCTGGCATGAGAGCCAAGGTCAACCCACTACAGTGTTTAAGCTGACTAGCATTTTTAAAGCACAGAGCCTAGTTTTGAGTTACAGAACAGGCAGACAAGAAGACTTTGTAATAGTCAAGTGTACTGGTTCTGTATTTACTTCACTGCATTCCAGTTCAAACCTGTAACTTTTTCAAGTCTGTGTTTTGTCAGGATATACAACTATTCCAAACAAAGCAGGGTTTTTTATTGTTTTCTGGTTTTTAAACTCAAAACCAAGGATACAGTAAAAAAGTCCCACCTAATAGTTACTCCTAGTTCTGTTTTTTGTTTGTTTATTTGTTTTGTTTTTAAAATCTTGCACTTTATTGTGGTAACTGTATCAAAATACTTCACATGAAACACCAAGTATGCTTCATAGTCCTAGAAGGTTGTGAGAGCGTATGAGAAGTCACAGCATGAAAGAGCCTGAGAAAGTATCTGTTGGCTTTTGATGCATCTTCTTTCAAAAATATTGTTTTTAAGTATCTGTATACAGACATTCAGCCTCATGCATAGCAGCCCTTTTCAACTTGAATTTACACATCAGACTTGATCCACAGATAAATTTTACAGCAAGGGAAGTTGCTTTTCTTTTTGCTCAGTTTGATAACTTTTTCTGAAAAGGGGTATTTTGGTGTTTGCATGTGCTGTTTTTAAAATCAACATCAGACAAGTTCCTAGTCCCTAGAAAGTAAAAGATTGTCCTTTACTTTAGCTGAAATGTATTAAAACTATTGTATATAAAACTTTAGTATGTAAGTATTTTAACTGATGGAACCTTGTCAGTGTGTCCCCAAAACTTTTTCCAACCAGACCACTTTTCTTGCCATTATAAAGACAAATGAATTAATTACCATTGTGAGTACAATTTCTGCACAATGCTTTTTCTAAATGGATATTGCCTAGAAAAGTTCCTAGTTTGGAAATTCATGATCATGATGACATTTTACATATATTTTGAACATGTGTGGTAAAGTTGATATTGAAATGCATTTGGCTTTACATGGGACTTTTGATTCTGGAACTACAACAGATGTAATTGATGGTTACCTTTGAGAAAAGTCTGCCTGTTCCTAAATTGTAAGGGTTTAATTTTCTTAATCTCAAACCATTCTCAGACTATGAGTAGGAAAGTTTTTCAGAAATATCTGCTTAATATAAATATTCTGATAAATTACCATCAAGTCCTTTGAAAGTGGAACTACTTACTTTACTTTCTTGGCTTTACAGACACTAGACATATTTATTCCTAAAACTTTCTTTGAAAAATAGAATTGTGCTCATTTTCAGCACCGGATAAAAATTCAGTAGCGATACTATAACCTCATGTTGGTCTAACCTGTGTGTTATGTTTGTGTGATATGTTGGATGGGAGTAAGACAAATATAGTTACTTCTGTGGAGGCTTCCACTTAAGTTCATTAGTCCTTTTTTTTCAGAAACAAAAACATGACATGCATACCAGGTCCTCCATATATGTAGAAATGTCATACTCTTAACATTTATTTGTGCCTTCTTTGTGGAGAGGCTTTATGTATATTCCAAGGACTGCAGCTCTGATTAAAAGCTTATCTTTTCCTTGCAACACCAGGAAAAGGAGAAAAGTATTCTTTGTAGTATAGTCAGACCATCAAGTAAAAATGGACAAAGTAATAATTACATACTATATATATATTAAAGGCAAGTATTGCTGTTAGGTTTCTACCATCCTAGCTCTCAATGGAATGCATAGTAGCTATCTCTCAAATTTCTAGTGCTATAATAGTGGGATTCTTTAAATTAGTATGAAGAATTTGTGGAGCCATAAACATGCACTCAAAACAGTATAAAAAGAGAGGATTTTATTTGCTCTTGAGCAACAAATGGCATATTGTATTTCCATCGAGAAAAGTCTTGTGAAATTAAAGAAGATAATGTCATTGGTCGTTGGTATTTGCTGTAGTTGTAGAGTTGATTTAGTTTTGCAGAAACAATACCATTAGTGTTAACAATACTTGTGGCATAACACTAGTCAAAGCCCTTATATGATGCCTTGTCCTTATCTCTCCTTTTCCTTTTCACTTGTATCTCCACAGTATTGCATACCCAAGGTCCCATTGATGGCAGTCTGTATGCAAAAGTGAGAATGAAGAGCTCTTCAGACAACAATATCTGTGGTGTTGTTCAGGGTATTCATGTTACAGGCAGTCCTGATCACAGTGATCATACCCTGTCTGTCAGTAGTGATTCTGGACACTCCACAGCTTCCATCAGAACAGACAAGACTGAGGAACTCCTTGTCCCAGAAGTTAAACGGGGTCTGAGCCCACAAGAGAAGGCAGAACTAGACCAGCTACTTAGTGGCTTTGGACTAGAGGATTCTGTCAGCACCACCAAAGATATTACTGATGCTCAAAGCAAGTACAGTGTTACTCACCACATAGTGCCAGCTCACATTCACATGAATGAAGTTGCCGAAATGAAGGACAGGGAGACTGATATTCTGGATAATGAAATGCCTAATCATGACCTTCACAGTGTGGACAGCATTGGGACATTTTCTTCCTCAGAAGGGCAGCACTCCACCCACCTAGGGAACTTCAGTTGCCACAAGAGCAGTCAAAACTCACTTCTTTCAGACAGTTTTGGAAGTAATGCTGGGGAAGAGCATCACAATGCTTTTGCTGCAGACATGGGAATTAGTGTGGATTCCCTCTTTGAAAGATCATTTGGAAGCACTGAGCCAAAGTCATCTGAGCAATTGCAACAGAATCCTTCTGTCTCACCCCATCTACAAGCCTATGGCCCGAGTAACTACTCTACTCAGACCTGGGTACGCCAGCAGCAGATGGTCACTGCTCACCAATATGGTTTTGCCCCAGAGAATGAAATTACTGTTGGCATTCATTACACTGTGGAGAATTTGGGCAGTGTCCAGAGGCAGTCCCAAGTCCCAGATGCTCCAACACGTGGCTCTAGCAGCAAAGATGCTGTGCAGAGAGGGCTAGGAAGCATGCTGGATGCTGCACAAGCTGAAGAACATGCAAGTGCTGACAATTTTAAGTCAAGTCAGAAGAACACAAATGGCCTGGATCTAGGACAAAATGCTGGAGACGTACCAGCTTCTCCAACTTTGGATATTGATCAGTCTATTGAACAATTGAACAGGCTGATCTTGGAGTTAGACCCTACATTTGAACCTATCCCAACCTGCATTAACACTCTCACCAGTGACAGAAATCAAGTAAATGGCTTCAGCAGCCTTGGTGCACACATGGAAGAGCTTAACAGTAGGTCTGGCTTCCATGACAAATTAGAGATCAGAAACAGGAATGCCTCTGGACATGGTAAGCTGTAATACTTTCTGAAAATCATTATTTCTCTAGCACCTGTGCGTTTATTATATTGTACAGCAGGACCCTCACATCATTGCTTAAAACTTTGACAGTGATTATCAAGGGGTTATTTCTGATGTCCTCTTTACATAATAATCCAAGATATGGAATCAAATGATGTAAGGTAAGTGAGTTTTGCAGGTACTTGCCTTTTGGCTTGAAAAAAGTACTTTTCAGCAAGTTCTTACCCGTTATCGATCATCGCTTGGGATTATTTTGCTGCTGTGAATTTAAGTTATAAGGGAGCAGAATTTGTACATTGAGACATTCTTAGAAGGCATTGGTGGTGTAGGTTTTTCATTATTACAATTTCCATTTAAATTATGAGAAAAAGTTCCAGCCACTTTATCTTCAAATACAGAGTAATGATACTGGCATTCAATTTCTATGCAATATTTTCACAAATAAAGTAATATTTGCCAGTAAAGTATTTTAAGACATGCTCTTTTGGACAGTTTTTTGTTTAAAAATGTACAAGTCACGGTGCTTGTTATCTCTGACTCTGAAATGATTACAGCTGGTAGAATTAAATACACAACACTTGCTGACTATATTACCTAAGTAATGCTAGTAGAACTAGTAACTTTGCAAAAGAATGAGTAGTCTGCCTCTGGCTAAGTCCACTAAACCTATTATTAATAGTCAACCTAAAATTTGTGACAAATAAGCTCTTGCCTGTCCTACTGTCATATTTGAAAATTTTATGTGGTCTAATTTCTCTGGCAAAACATATACCCTTGCCTCTCTTTCTCTCCTTCCATCTTCCTCTTCCTCTTCTTCTTGTCTCCAGTCATGGTGCAATGAAAGACTTGCTTGTGTCCCTAGGATTTGATTGAGTGTTAAGCCAGCATGACAGAAGATCTGCCTATGGCCTCAATGGACACAAATGAGTTACTCCAGCTCATGCCCCATAGGACATGCTAAACCATGAATGTGCCTAACTAGCGTGTGGTGTCTGTTCATGGTCAGGCCTATGTGATCAAGGATGGTGAATTCTTGTAGGGAAGTTGAAATCACAGTTTAGAAGCGTAACTGAGGACTGAAAAAGTCCAAAAATCCATTACTAATAAATGTGAGATGCTTCACTGCTTATTTTTTAATACACAATAAGTTTTTTGTGGCATTAGTTTGTAATTCTCTTGAATCTTTCCAAATTACTAGCTGATGGTCAAATTGACATTTTTCCAGCAGGAGAGAACTCTTTATGTACAGTAAATCTAGTGAAGGGGATAAAGAAATAATTTAGAATAAGCCACCTTCTACAGTTCAGTGTTTGAATATATGAAGCTTAAAAGAGATACTTGAAATTTTCTCAGAGATTCTGGTCATCTCAAAAGATGTAGAAGTCACTGTAATTTCCCTTCCATTTTTAATGTCAGGTAAATAAAGACCAGTGAAAATGATTGTACTTGGGGAATGATCTGGAAGAGGATGTATTTTTAAGAATTAAATTATGGAATTTCTGTATTTAAGGGAATTAAATATAAGTGTATAGATAGCATTTAAAATCCTGGATATTGGAGGGGAGGTATCAGAGCACAGTATAAGAGGAAAGACTTTAATAGTCAGGAACATAAGAATAGCCTTTAATTAAACAAAATTAGAAAAATAATTTGTATGGCTTTAGAACAGTAATATTTTTTTAAGTTCGTCTTTATGTCAAGTGCTAAAATGTTCTATTTCTGACTTCTGCAAGTAACATTCAATTTAGACTCGCAAGAGCTTGATTTTAAAACTACTCCGGGTTCTAGAGGTAAAACAACACATATATGTGGCATGCTGCCACCTCTGCTTGAGACTAGGAGGTCACCAGCACGTACTGATTTTCTAAGTGCTGTATAATTTATTTATTTATATATCTGGACTTACCCCACTGAAATATACAGAATCATACATTTATTCATGTGTGGTGTGCACAAACCAGCAGGGGGATAAAGCAGTTTACCTGAATGAATATTAACAATAAGGAACACTCATTCTTACTATTCATTCAGGTAAATTGAATTAATGTTTTTCCCTATATAGATTACTGTTCTGAATCACTGGATTGAGAACTGGCTGCATATCAGTTCTCAGGGGGTTGTGGTCAGTGGCACAGTCTACAGGTGCCTGTAGTTCAGGTGTCTAAATCCAGTTTTGTTTAACTTATTAATCATTTGGATGAAGGGGTAGGGTGCCTCCTCAGCAAGTTTGCTGATGCACAGAGCTGGGTGTCTAACTTGAAGGTTGGATTACAGGAGGATGGTGGAATTATCTGGTTTCCTGCATGAGTGTGCAGAAAATACATGTCTTAAAGGTGTGTATGCATGTTTCCAGTGCCCTGCAAAGCTGGAAGAATGTGCCTAAGAATGAAATGTGTGTATCAACTGGGATGTACATTATGGTGCATTCTTGCTTCTATTTGCTCACATGATTCTGCACTGACTGACAGATAGGGAACTGCCTATCCTTTCATGCTTCTTCCTGGATGTTCTTATACACATATATCCTTAGCATAGGTCAACCTGGCACAAACTACTGACTGCCCATGCAACAGAGTTCTGGGTTCTGTCTGAAATGATTTCTTGCGTTAAGTGCTTAGCATTTTTGGATCACTCAATTTCTTTTTGCTAGGATGTATCTTTATGAACCATGCAGAGCAATGGTTGATGACCTTTTCTCTCCTTCAGTGTCATGTGTATTGCTTATCAGGGGTGAATCACTGCACTGTTTATTTTTTCAATTTTTATCTTTTACTTGAGCTGAGTTATGCACAGATGAGTTTCTGACAGTGAATGAAGCGACCATTTACTAGTAACACAGTGCTACAGGAGTGCCTAATTCTAAACGACAGGAAGTTCATAGCATGAAAAAAAAATTGATGTGTGTATAAGCTTTTCTTTCAGCCTTAAGTTCCCCATTTACTTCACTCTCGGTATATTCTTTTATGCCTAATAATTAACACTTGACTTCAGTTTACTGCTAAAGATATTAGTAAGACTTATTTTCTCAAATTAGCTATCTTTTATCACAAGGCTGATGCTTGTTCAGTAAAAAAGGAAAGCTAAATCAACGTTTTGCTTCAACCTACAAAACTGTAAAAGCAATAATTTAATAAATGTAGAGAACAGAAAGGTTTTTACCCATTTTCATTATAACCAACCCTCATTGTCACCCATGTCTCATCTGTATAGCCCACCTTTTCAGTGTTAAAATGTTACAGTTTGCATCTTTAGAAAAGTACTAGATGCAGGTGAGGAATTATGTGATCAAGTGAAGGCAGAACACAGAAATGCATGCATTCAGTATTTGGGGTAGCCTTTTTCAGTGACTGTGACCAAGATACACATTTCTATCTGAACTTGCCGGCATGATGGAAGAGAGGTTCTGTATTTTGCCATAAGGTTGAAATTATATTCTTGCTCTCAAGTAATTCTAATTCTTCTGCATGCATGAGTTAATGGTGTTTGACCATCTCAAAACTTCCCTAGGTTACCTACTGTAGGAATTACACAGATACACAACTCATACAGCCTTATATTTCGCATGGAGTTTATCAGCTCAAAACAAAATTGAGCATTAAACAAAGCCTCCATCTCTCAAAAAAATAATGCAAAATGAATAAAACTGAGGTGGCTTAGGATCTGACTGCATGTCTGGAATACCTTCACAGATCTTTCCTCTATCAAAAATAAACCTTTGGAGATAGCCCAAGATAACAGTATTGTAAATCATGCTACAGTGTCTCTTCAGACAAAGGAGAGAGAAAGAAATCCTTTTTGCGTACCTTATTAAATAATATATTTTAAAAGCATTGAACTGGTGCAAATGTTCCCATTTACTGTGCTATTCTGTGGGTAAGCACAGTCCCTCTGAAATAAGTTGTGAAGTGAGAGAAAAACAGAGCATGTCCAACTTCTCACCTGCCTTATTGGAGTGTATGGAGAATACACTACAAAACTTGTCATTTCTGTTGTACAGGAAGATTTTGATGTCTGACTTGCCTGACTTGGGTGTTTTTACAATGGTTAACAGCAAATTTGAGTTTTTAGGTAAATTAAAGGTAAAAATTGAATTTTAAGTTATAACTGAACTAGATTCAGTTTCTAAATGAAATTAAACAACTTTTTAAGCTACAGTTAAAAACTGAATTTTAGTTACATTTAGCAGCACAATAATTTTTAATTTATGCCGCATACTTACACCACAAATTTTTAAGAGTATTGTAATTTTCAGCATATGGGCCTGAGTCTGCCATCATTATGAATTCTCTCTATGGGTTTAGAGATACCAGTTCAGATTTTGCACTGGGCTTGCTCCCCATTCTTAGCATAATGTAAATGGGCTATGAAACTGAAGTGATAGATCTGCTAAGCGGCTTTGTCCTATGCTTGATGGTCTACTTGAATTTGGGATAGAGTTTAGATTTTTTCATTTGCTTGTTAGACTAATTGGTTATAAGGAGTTTAGAGTCCTAGTCTACTAGCTGTTAGAAATTGGGGTTAAAAAGAATAGTTTGCTTATTAATAATTTCTATTTATTTGGTTTTTTTTCAAGAATAAAGGGATTTTCTGACTTTAGCAGCACTTTGTGTTACATTTTAGAATGTAACACAAAGTGTTTAGAATGTATTGAATGTATCACAGGCACAACATAGTTGGCTTTTTTTCTAAGTAAAACTTTTGAAACAGTGTTCCTAAAGATCTGGGAATCTGAAAGTTTGAGCATATCAAGATCCTTGTTTGGTATTTGCATCACAAATACACCAAGGTCATGGGTTCAATCCTCATACTTCATTTAAGATTTGGATTCAGTGATCCTGCTTGGTCTCTTTCAACTCAGAATATTCAGAGATTTTATTTTTCAACTGGCTATATATTTGATTATCCTTTTCCCACCACAGCAATATTTAGTTCAAGTTTTGTCTTGCTGTCTTCAAAGATGCTTTTTCTTTCAGTATGTAATAATGATTGTAAAGCTGAGTCTAAATTTTTAAAGTAGATTTGCTATGGTTTAAGCATAAACCTGTTTTGAAAGTTTCATCATTACATACCTTCTTTAAAAATCTTAGACTTTGTAGAAGATAAATGGTGGCAAAGGAGGAGATCACTTTGGTTTGGATGGCGTTGTTGGTAACATTTTTAGTATGTGGGATAGTCCCTGAAGGCTCCTCTGTTAGATGTTAACTTACAGACTTATTTTTCCTTATTGCATTCTTAAGCCTCATGTTGGATTGTATCCCCTTGTTTCACAGTAATTGATAGGTATTTTTAAACTGCTGTGTAGGCATTGACTTCTGGAATTTCTGCAATGCTAACACAGTTCTCCCCAGAGTGTTATTTTAGCCTTCACGCCTTCTGCTGATGTCTGTAAAAGGGATACTGGAAAACCAGTTTTGTGGAAATTTTCACCATTCCTTTCACAACAGAGCCCTGCATTTTATTGCTCTGTGGGTAGAACTGGTAGAGCTTCTACTGTCATCCTAGCTTTCCACACCAGTTGGAGCTGTGGTAAGAAGCTCACTTGAAGTGCAAACACTTTATCTTTTCCTCTCTGTGTGTAACATGCTTGTGCACAAGCAACGAATTCCAGTTTGTCTGTGTGCAAAGTCTGTTAAGTTGTATTGATTGGTTGATTAAGCATACATCCTAGTAAATTTTCCTTTTGTTTCTTAAAAAAATATATCATTTTCTTAAACCACTTAAAACTTTGTCAGATTTTCTTGAATGTATAGATGTTACTTGTTTCCTCTTGTGAAAGGGTTAGTGTGGTGGAAAAACTTCTCCTCCAACCCATGCTTCCAAAGAAAGGCTCAGCAGTCTCTTGTTCGGTCTCATGGTTGTTTATTGCAAGTTATCTAGAAGATTGTCTTCTCGGGCTACTGCGGTTTGCTCAGCAGCTCAGGCAAAGGCACACACACACCCTGACATCCTCTCTGTCTGCCATCTTCTTCTTCTCTCCCCCACACCCAGGGCTGGTGCTGTCTTTTACATGATACATTAAGTGTTACATGTTTACAGTTTTTCCCCAATACCTATTACCTATATTAAATGGTGCTTTTCTACTCTAAACCAATCTGTGAGTGCCAACATCACCCAAGAACATGGAGGTAAGGAAGAAGAAAGAGGGATGACAGGACAGGCCCAGATCCCTCCATCTTAAAACCTCTGACCCCCATGTACAAGACCTAAAACCCCCCCTGTACAGCACTAAAAAATTCTTCCCTCTACTTTGTAACTACTTCTACTATACCCTCTAAACTTTTGTGACTTCTTTTTCTTCCTGCAAGGTTGGTAAATCATTCCATGGCTCAAATCCAAAATCACAGCTGTTTCCAGCTGCCTGCCAGGGTCTCAAATGCTTCTGACATGGACCCGGAGCATCCAAAAATGTCTGAGGGACATTTTGAGTTCCCACAGAACAGCAGTTTATACAGCTGTTTATTTTCCAGCATCAGTCTCATTACCATGGTTATGACAGTGGGAAGATGCCAGCATCTCACATCCCCAGCAGCAGACAAAGAACTTAATGTTACAACTTACTTTAAAAGGTTTTTGACCAATCACACAAAGCAAAAGCATATTGATAGTATTTCTATCCAACCAGTATAAGCACACATACTGAAATGAACAGGGCTTATGCCTTTATTAATGTTCAACTCTTTATTAAAAATATCAGCTGGGTAGGGGGCTCGACACAGAGCTCGCCCCCACTGTTGTAGCTTTTTCCAAGTAGCCAAAGGGGGAGAAGGTGTGCAGAGTCTGTCCCTGAAGTCTTCATGACACACTGGTAGCCAGAGGGTGAAGAGGTGTGAAGTCTGTATCTGAAGTCCTGATCAGCAGACTGTCCTCTCTCCTTTCCTCTCATCTCTCCTTTCCTGGTGGCACGCTGGTAGCCAAAGGGTGAGGGGATGTGCAGAGCCTGTTGCTGAAGTCCAGCAGCAGCTGTCCTCTCTCCTTTCCTCCTGGAGACACCAGGAAGAGCTGCTTCTTTGTTCCTGCTTCACATAGCCCAGTCCAGTCCAGTCCTCTGGAGGCTATGGTGACAGGTCAAACACAGACTAGGGATGTGGTTCCCTTTTCCCCAATCAGCACACCCATCCAGTCCCCTCCACTGTGCCCAGCCTTCCATTTAGGGGTGTTTTCATCCCCCAAACCCCCTCCATGATTTCCACTGGTCCCTCTATTTTGCATCCCAGTCCTGGAATGGCAGTGTGGGTGGGGGGTGTAGGTGATCCCCAGGAGCAATAAGCTAATTAACATTTCAATATCAGTACTTAGGTCAAGCCAGCAGTGTCCCAGTATTGCCATGGGAACCAGGGAGGCTCTTTTGTTCATAACACATACCTTTGGTTAAAACAATGCTTGCTTATTTTGAATACAATACCTGTTTGGAAGCCTTAAGCTGCAATGCACAGAACTCCATTATTAAGCTTAGAACTTCCTATTATCTCACTAGATACACTTTTCTGTAGCTTAGGGAGTTATTCGAGCCAAGCGTTAATATACTGACCATTGTTCTATTTGTCCTTACTTTTCTACTTCTTATATAATTTTTCTGCTGACAAATCTTATGGCTACCGCTTAGCTCTAATTGCAGTTCTGCTGTCTCTGAGGCTTGCCTTTTGCAGATTTCCCCAAACCCTCTGATTTTAAGGATTCCCACACAGATGTTACTTGTTTCCTCTTGTGAAAGGATTAGAACTGAAATGATTTGCAGATTCCAAAAATGCTGCTATTCAATAAATGAAGTAAGTGAGAAGCTGCCTGTGAAATAATATAGTTAACACTGCTTAAGCTATATCCAGAGAAAATAATCTTAACTGTTGCTCAGGTATTGATGATTGAAATTCAAGTGGTTAAAATCAGTTTTACAAATTCAGACATTTATATTTCAATACTATCACAAGGAATTATATTTGCAGCCAGCTGGATAATTTGCTAATAAATGAGATACACCACTGTTATTGATAAGCCACTGGAGACAAGATTTTAAGCTTAGTGTTGTTTTCTTTCTAATAAGTTATAAATACCTCTCAATAGCAGTTGAGGAAAGCTAAGCAGTTAAAGAAACCAAACAATGATTAACCTTTAACCACTGGCCATGCTTCTGTATGCTGTAGCTTTTGCATGGTGATATTATAAATGAAAATTAGTCCAGCCAAATTAAAAATGAAATAATAAAAAATTTATTTAGGATCGAATTCTCTCTGAACCAGCCACAAGGAAAAGGACAGCGCCGAGCCTGGGTTCGGCGCTGGGTGCGCGACAGGAAGGACACCTCTCGGCAGAGGTTCCCCTGGACACACACACCACCCTCCTGGACCCTGCAGTTCTTATAGGAAATTTTCTGCCCGAGGCCAGGATTTCAGCCATCCACCTTTTCTTTCTATTCAGAGTCCCACATATTCATAAAGTTATTTTCTCCGAGCCAGGGTTGAACAATCCAGGTCCAGGTGTGGACGATTTTTCCTAATGGTTATGGGAACCGTGGCATTCAGATGTATCAGCCCGGAGGTTTCCAGTGATCCCAATCTTGGGTCGTTACCAGGATGATCAGCTTCCAGGTGTTCCAATATCGCCTTTTGGGAAAGCCCATCTCCAGACTAGCCACATGTATTAGATTATAAATGAGGCATTGTCCGAGAAAAGCGGCTCTGGTGTAATTAAATGGGGGGGGGGGGGAGCTCACAGTGCTGGTGTGTGTATTTTGTAATAACTAAATATTATACATGCCAAATCACATTTCCCTTGATTCAATACAACAATATTTCATTGGTACAAGTTATAATCATACATAAAAATTCCTTCCCTTTTACATTAATTCTTTACATTAATCCATTAATTTGCACCCTAAAAGAAACTACATTTATTTCATCCTTTATTTTTACAGTAGCAAATTTCACATTTAATTTTCCCCATCCTTGCCTGGCACCTCATGATAGAATTTATATGACTTTCCTTCTCTTATCTGACCCTCAAATTTTGCCAGGGCTTCTGCCGCTCTGTGGTGTGGGTTGTCTTTCCCTAATTTCATTATTTTGGATACTTGGGTAGTTCTTCCTATTGCAAGTTCCGGATCTGTGGGCACAGCCACTACTTGCATTCCCTGCACCACTGAGTGTATCAGCCAGATGAAGCAAGGTATGTGACAAGGTAGAAAAATGAGCCCAGCTACTGAACATAAAATAAAAAATACTATTTTCTTCCACCATGCTCCGTCGAACAAATTTTTTCCCAAGAAGTTTAACAGAGCTATAGTTCTGCCCTTACATCCTCCTCCTTAGGACTAGCCACCAATAGATCATCTACATATTGCAACTATTTTGTCCCAGGAACTTGGCACGAACTCAATAATTTTTCAAGGGCTTGGCCAAAAAGATAGGTGAGTCCACAAACCCTTGAGGGAGGGAGGTCTATCTTAATTGCTGTTTTCTTTGTGTCTCCAGGTCTTCCCACTAGAAGGCAATGTAGTCCCAACTTTCCTCAGCTAGAGGACAAGTCAATTACACTATACCAAATGTCTTCTGGAGATATGTTATTCAATAGAGTATAAGGATTAGAGACCGTGGGGAACAGGGTGCTGATTTAAAGCCTTAAATCCTGCAGCAATCGGTAACTGCCATCAGGTTTTGTATTGCCAGTATAGGTGTGTTATGTCTGGACATGCAGGTTTCCAATGTACTCTTCTTTAATAAATCCTCAATTATTGGCTTCAGCCCCCTCCTCCCTTCTAAAGGGATGGGTTATTGTTTGATCCTTATGGGATCTTCTGGTCTCTCCGTTTCTATATGTATAGGTTCCATGTCCAATCTCCCGGCTTCCCCCAGAGTGTGCCAGACCCTGGGATCAATCCTTTCCTCCTCCTCAGTGGTTAATGTATACAGACTTGCCATAAGCTGTGAATCCCTTGTGAGTACACATATTCGTAGCACTACCATCAAATCTCTTTCCAATAAATTATAATCAGCTTCCTCTATCAACAAAATATCACCCAAACAAATGTTATTATCAGATTCAATTTCCACATCCTTTAAAATGGGAACTTGGAAGGGTCCCCCTTTGCCCCAATCACCCAGAAGGCAGCTGTTGAACTGTAGTTCTCTCAGCTCCTGAATCCACCAGAAAAAAACAACTCCTGCCTTTGGGGTCCAACTTTCAATTTTATCAAGGGCTCTCCAGATGTCCTGGACCCCAAATTGTAGAGCCCCTGACATCTTTTCCTCCTGAAAAATCATTTCATCTTTCATTCTCTTTTCACAATCACTCCTCATGTACACCTTTTGGGCTTCCCTCAACAACTCCTCTTGCCAATTCTTTATTTTCTCTAATTTCTTACTAATGTCCTTCCATGATTTTGCCAAATTGTGTTTTTAATAGAATCCCCCTTTTGGCACCACCCCCTACCCAATTTTAGACGTAAAACTCACAGCACAACCTTATACTGACTAAAAACAAAACAAATTCACTGGTGATTTCCAAAAACCGTGGCTGAGAAGCGAAAGCACTTAGATATGAGCCCTGCAGAGCAGCAGCAGCTTCGAAAACTGCTGGCTGCGGGAACAGGGACTCCCCCCACGCCCCGTGCCCGAGCGGTGACCAGCGCTGCCGGCTCCCTCGGCGCCCGCGCTCCCCCGCCGCTATCGGGGTAGGCAGAAGCTCCCTGCCCCTCAAGCCGCTCCGCACCGCTGCGAAGGGCGGGGGCGGGCAGAGCCCCCGCTCCCCCCGGGCCGGCACCGCCGCCTCTGCCGCTGCCGCGCGGGTTCTAAACACTGCCGAGGCACGCTGCCTGCGGCTGCACGGGGCTGCGCAGCCTTTCCTAACACTGACCCCCAAGGGGCTTTCCCTCGGAACCTCGGGCAACCCGCCCCTTCCTCCTTTCTCAGGTTTTACAGGTTTCTCATGGGTTTTTTCCTGAATTTGACTTTTCTTTTGTCCCATGTTTTTAGATTCTCCTTACCGTATCTGAGTCGGTTTTTCCGCGATTCGTCCAAGGCCAGTTAGTCGATTTCCAAGCGTGGATCGATCTGTCTCCTGACCGTGCCTTACCAACCTACTGCTCCCACAGCGAACCAGTCTGTGGGTGTTCGGTTTTGGTAATTTTGAGCTCTCTTACCTGTCTATTTTTCTGGACTCCCTGAGTCCTGGATCGGAGGGGTTTACCAGTTTACCGAACCCACAGGAACGTACCTTCTCCCCCCGAATATGTGTATGGGGGGCAGCTCACAGTGCTGGTGTGTGTATTTTGTAATAACTAAATATTATACATGCCAAATCATATTTCCCTTGATTCAATACAACAATATTTCATTGGCTCAAATTATAATCATACATAACAGTGATAACCATCTGATGAGGTTGTTCTGATGCCAGTTTGTTGGAATGTTATTATTTGGTCATCGGGTAAAACAAAATTACTTTTGTAGGGAAAAATTACTTTTCACATGGGAAAAGAGAGAAAGGACAGTATATTAAATGGTTTCTAATAAATAAATATGTGTTCCTGGGATATTTATTAAGCTCTGCCAAAACTTTAAGCTAAATGATAAATCGAAAATGAATTTTGTAACTTCTAGGAAGTCTTGGCAACTGACACCTTACACTGTAAAAGGTTCCTTTCAAATTAGTAAGTCTAAAATATTAAATTATTATAATATTAAAATATAAGTCTAAAATATTATGAAGTACAGTTTTGAAACTAATGAAATAAGTAGAAGTAATTTTTCTCACTCCTTCACTTAATTTTAATCTCTTAGATTTATTTGCTTTAAGCTTTACTGAAATATACCAGCTCAATTTCTGCTCTCTGTTGTCTAGCATCTGATGGTAATTTGATATGTAAAGCACTTTCAGTCTATTTAAGGAAAATGTCTATTTTCCCAGAGAGACCTATTTGTAGCTTCCTGGGGACTACATTAACTTTGTAGAAATTGCAAGCTTCGTGAGTGTATCAATATTATTGATGATGAAATCCTCTCATTAGTATGACAAGCAAAACTTCCATTAAATTTCAAAGGTCTTTTTTGACCCATCCAAAAGATAGATATTCTTTATCATAAAGTAGTCTACAAGGCCATGTTAACTAAGAGAAATATTCAGAAAAAAAATTATGTATGCCTTTGTAACTTGGTTACAGATGGAGTGAAGCTCTTTTGTACTGTTCCTGGCTCCTGCTGCCTCCTGTGGATAAGTGGTGGTACTGGGAGTGTCTGGTCTCTAATCATCTGAGATTCTGTAGTGATTCTCACTCATTTTTCTTTACAGAAATTACAAATAAAAAAGGAAATGCAATGCAAATGTTGGTAAATGCTGGAATAGTATGAACTCAGTCTATATTCATAAATGTCTCAAATTTCATAGAATTCACTGTGACTGTTTAGTATCATGTAAGAGGTTTAGAAGATATTTGTGATTTCATGTCCTTTTCTCGCTTTGAAAATCTTAAGTGATGCATCTAGTTTGCTTACAGGGTCTTCAGCACATACTCCTTCCATAAATGAGAGACCACACATAAAGATTCAAGTCGAGGGAAAAGGAGTTAAATATGGATGCTTAAAAAGTTTTTGAGTTTTCCAGTTTGGAGCAACCATAAAAACAGAATCTCAGTTGTTTTTTTTTCTAAATGTGCTAGGTTTGTAAATACTGACTTGATAAAATTAATAACTGTCTGTATTTGGACCCTAAAATTTAACCTTATTGGTGGAATTCTCAAAAATTACTAACATCATTTTATGTATGTATTTATTTGCTTCAATAGTAGTTATTGTAACACTGACCTTGAATGCTAGTAGAGATGGGATTTTTTTTGAAGTGTCTAATTCTGTAGTTTAACAAGAGATTTGTAATATTTTTAGGATAAGCCACTACTTGCCAGCAAGTTACTTAGGTTGATAAATACATGTCAATGCAGAATCAGTTAAGTATCATGGATTTTAGTCTAAAATCCCTGTTTCAAGCTTGAATAAAAACTGTTCCACTATACAGAAATGTATTTGTGAATTAATGCTTTATAATTGTGTGGTGTAATGAAGGTTGAATGTCTGCAACACAGACTCTTATGCTGGATGCCAGATATTACACCTTAGCTTCTATCAGCTACTTCAGATTGAGAAATTGATTTGTGTGTAAGGTGTATGCTATCATTTTTCTCTACCCAAGTTGCTGATTAAGGCATCCTGCTGGTTTAGATGAAGGACACGCTTTGGAATCCTAATGTTATGGCTCCATGATCAGGGAGTGTAAGAGATGTGCTTCAACAATACATACTTATGGTTGGTAATTACTGTAAAGGTTTAAATGACACCAAGCAATTAAAGTAACTTCTTGTGGAAATACTCAGCTCTTTTAAGAGAAATAGCTAATACTGAATGATCTTTTTGCATATATATAGACCATAGAAGCTTTCAGAGGAGTATTTGAAAAGTTGCTATGCATGTGGTTGTTTTAGTGACTACCCAGTAAGTTCTAGGGATCCTTATTGTTGATTTAAGAAGGGTTGAAAAAACAGTTGTTGCAGGAGTAATCTGGAAGTGCCTCTTGTTGGGAGTGGATGACCACATATAAAATTCTGCAAATTATAGCTCTGCATCTAGTGACATGCTCTTAACATCTTTGGAAACAAATAATGCTTTATATTCTTGAATATCCTGGATTGTTCTGCTGGTTAAGGTTACTCTTCTGTGCTGTTCTTCAAAAGGATTACAGCTTCTGTGTGTAGCTAATACCTAATTTTTGTGATTGTGATTGCTGTGTGTGTCACAAAAGGTGTACAGTGAACTGAGTTTATAAGGTCCAGGATCTGATTTAGCTAAAAATAATCTGATTTTGGGAGGGGAAAGGTGGGGGAAACACAGTCCTGGACAGCAGCAATGGTTTTTCTGCCAAGTGCCGCTGTGTGTCAGAAATGACAAGAGAGGCTTCTCATTCGAGTGTCCGTAGTGGCCTCTGCTGGCTGGATCTTCCAATTGCACTGGGGGTGATAGCTTCAAAAATGAGCATCAGGAGAGCTGTGCTTTTCAACTTACTCCTCTAGAACAAAGGAGACTGCGAATATTTTCCAGCTGGTGTCAGCAAAGAAACTACAACTGGTATCTTTTCCCTAACCATGTGGTTTTGTAAAACAGTGTGAACATTCTTGTTTATAATGACTACAGACAGAATAGTGAAGTTTGTTTTAACAGTTCTAACTGAAAAAAATTAGTTTCGTAATCAGCTTGCCTGTTTTCAGCAACAGGTATGCAAAATGATGATGCAACAGGGAGAAGGCTCAGAAAGTTAAGTGTTGGGCAGTATGACGGTGATATTCCTGGGGAGTCATCGTATAACATGTGTGGATGGATGAAGTCTCCTGCTAGTCACCACGCTGTAATTCCAGGATCACCGGTTGCTGGAGGGAAAACCAAGGAGGTAAACAATCAAGAATTTTTCACTAAATACTGAAGTGAGTGGCCAGTAGGAAGTCTTATGTTTTGTGTCCAAAATTAATGTGAAGCAATTGGGCAGTTGCATCATGGCAATAAAAACAAGTAACTGCATTCACCTCAGAAATGCAATTCAATGTTTAAGGTTGCTCTTGTCTGTTCTGTGTTTGCATGTTTTCAGTGTTCCAAGTTCTCTCTGCTGGAATAGTAGATTGCATTATGCATCTGATTACAGAAACCTTTTGTAATTTGATGAAGAGTGCTCCACTGTGTCATGGAGTTAAGTGAAAATTATCACACTGTAATTTTGCTTTTTTGTGGCTTCTGTTAGATGATTGTTGTACATTACCAAGATGAAATAGATGGGGGAGTCTTCTCCACAATAAAAAATGGAAATGAAGCTGTCACATTCACATCAGCTTTTCCCCTGTCACCAGAGGTGAAATATGGTAAGAAAACTACTCTATTTGTTTGTTTATGTAAATAGAACTATTGACATTTTAGCAGTTAACTGAAGAGAACTGCCCTTTTCCCTCTCTCCTAGTGACAGCACCTCCACCATGCCATCAGCAGATTCCCTCCAGCCAAAAGGTCAGCAGCCCATCTGAGCTGTACAGAACCATTTCTGGTAAGGTACCCCTCTTTCCTAAGTAATGTGAAAATGAACTGTGTATGGAGGCAACTAACACAACAGTGGTTTATAAGTAGGACATATAAATGTTGAATTTAGACATGCAAGTCAGAGAAAGAGATTTTAGCGGTCCTATTTTAATCACATCAAAAACAAGTGAGTAATGAAGAATGATCCAAGAAATATTTAATACCTTCCAGATTTTAACTGCCAACAGGGAGTCCCATGTTCACATTTATTGTGCAAATTTAGTGTGAAGCAATTAGACAGCTGTGTCATGGAAATAAGAGGAAATGCAGCTCAGTCTTTGAGGCTATCCTGCTCTTGTTCTCTCTCTGTGTTTGCATGGTTTCCTCAATCTTTCTGCTGATATTTGATGATGTCAAAATACCACTATCAGGAGACTTGAGTTCTTTGTGATTTTAAGCAGATTTTGTCTCCATTTGAGGAAAGACAGGTGATATCCATGTTGCCATCTTTCCAGGCAAGTGAAGCTGACAATATAACTTGACAGTAGCTATGCTTAAGTCAAGGAGATCCTTTACCAGTGGAATGGATGTTCTGAAGGGTTTTTTTTTGCCATGATACAGTCTGTAAATACAACAATGGGAAAATAGTTGGTAGTGGATGATTATGATTTTTTATAATAAAGGATGATTTTCAATGCCTTAACTCTGCTAATAAAAATAGCTGCTAAGCTACTGTTACCTGTCACCTTTTTTTGTGCAAAATTATTTGAAAACAATAGGATTTAAAAGAAAAAAAGTATTTATGGACTGCATCAGAAAGTGCTGGACTTACCAGAAATCCAGCTAATGTATTTAAAACGTGAATAAAAATCACAGTCATTAATTTGTGTTACGTGATGTTCACATGAAAATTCAGAACTTCTTTCATGAAGTTTTACTGCTTAGGCTGTGACTCCCTTCTTCAGGAGGATCTTGATAGTAGACTTTTCAATAAATTTGATTATGGGTTTTGATGCAGTAATAGCGTTTCAGTTTTAATTTTAAAAACCCTTTATGTTCAATTTGCCTCGATAACGTCAACATAGAATAAAATTATCTTTAGCTTTAGAAAAATCTTCTACCCAGTTCAAGACATCTCTTTATGGTTCTCCCTACTTCTAAATAATTAGTGGCAGATATCCCCCTGAGGACAACTTCATCAAATAAATTATAGGTTGATCTGAACTTTGTTGATAAATGGTTTCTATTAATGTTGCTAAGGGCTAAGACTTGCCCTGAAAAAATATTTGGCTTTCAATGTGGTTCTCTATTTTGATTCTCCTGCTTAATTTTAAACGATGTCATCTCTCAAATGCTGGTTCTAGATACTCAGTTAAAGAAACACTGAAAATAATGATTCTAACTATTAGAAAAGGAGGCAATTCTTCCTTTGAGTGCCTGTTTTAAAATGAAGCTCAAGGTGTACTGAATGCTGCAGGTTAAGTGCTCATCTCCATACAGCTTTGGTTTTAGCTGTAAATATAATGTACTTTGACATTAAAGATGTTAGTTGTTATTTAGGTAAAGTTAAATGTTGTATGAGATGGGTCAGCTAGAAAACATGCAGTAAAGACACCTGTTTGCAAGCATCTCCTAGCAATGTTCATTGGGTGATTTTCCCATCAGAGCGCAGAAACTTCTATTGTCAGAGGCAAGTAAGAGTCATACTTTAAATGTTTTAAAATTTTCTCCTCCCCACCCTGCCTCCCCCCTCCTCCTCCTCCTTCTTCACTTCTACTATAGTTATTGCCTGCATCTACAGTAAGTACGTACTGTATCTACTTGCTTCTATGTCTTCTGATGTCTTTCGCAAGAAGTGCTTCTTATTTCTTCTACCAATCCCTAATTCATGCCCTGAGCAAGAGTGTTAATGTTTTGTGTGTTGAAGAGGCCAAGAATCTGAAGGGAACAGACACAGCTGTTCTGGGTTCAGACTGCTTTAATGCACATGCCATAAAGATCTAACTCTTCCAAAGTGCACACACTCCAGCAGTGTGCACTTTGCAAGAGTTCTTAACAGCCTCAATTTTTAGTACTTTCCCTTGCAGTGCAGCTCTTCTTGTAAATGCTTACATCATCTTTATTTTGGTACAAGTCAGGAAACATACTGACTTTTTCAGAAATTTTCAACAGCATAAGGCCTTTTGTGTCATGGGCTCTGGAGTCTTAATTTCTGCCATTAAGATATTACTACTTTGGTTTCAGTTCATATCACCCTTGAATTCAAAATTGCTTTGTTCTGCATCTCAGCTTTGCTGTTTATCTGCTTTTTAAGTTATCAGTGAGGATGCCATAACCTGGTTACCAATTACCTAGATGTATTACTGTTTTGTTTCCTCCCTGTTTCCTTGTGGAGAATAGCACTCAGTGTAATTAGTGCTTACCATATCAGGAGATTCTGTTGTGCTTTTAGAAAAGTTCAAAAGTGTATATTTTAAAAGAAAAAATAGTCAATAATTGCAATGATATCCAGTCCTTACATATAAAAAATTATAAAATTCTCTCTTCTTTAAGTTATTAATGTAAACTGTGTATCTAGTATCTTGAATGCATCTGATTTTTAACCTGTTTACGTAAGGACACTGTCTTTAATAAAGTCTTATAAAATGGAGATCTGTTATCCCTAGAAATCTGAATTTTCTTTCTAGTCTAGTAGTGTTATGTATGTGCCTCCCTTACATTAGCTATGCCTTAACTCTTCATTCTCCCTGTACATTTGTTGGAGATGTCCTGCATGTAGGATTTCAGAGCCTTTACACCTTTGTCAAACAGGTATAAATTTAACCTCCCTCAGTCTGTATGCATGCAGTCAATTTTGTGTCAGTGCTACTGCTCCAGTGATCACTTGCTGCTATGGTTTCATAGCCTTTTTCTTTACTTTATGTAGATTAAAAGTAATACAGCACCCACAGAGTTAATTCTGAATTGTCTTTGAAAGACACCTTGTTTCTTGAGATGAACCTAAGTGGTCTATAAATTGGCAAGTGGACTATAAATTGGCTAGTTTTATAAATGCCCCTGAAAAAATAGGGCTGCTCCACATAGAACCCAGATACAGATCTCTGGAATTTCACAATAGCTAATGTATTGGGAGGGAGAGTCCCACACATCAATGAAAGAACTGAAGCACTATTTGTAGGCCATTTTGAAACTTATAAAGGCTCTTTTTTCTCAGACAGCTAATTCAAGTCCTTTTGTATATAGAAGTAACAATAAAAGCGTAGCAAGCTCTTTGCCAGGGGACTGAATGCTGGCTCACTGCCCTGCCACTCCACCCCTGAGGCAAGATGTGAAGAACTGTCCCTTCTTCAGCCTTGGTCAAAGCATAGAGAGAACTTTGCAGAAGGTCTGCATTCACAAACAGGCACTGTCTTGCAACAGAGGGGAGGGATCTGTGGAACAAGGGAAGATTGTCTATAATCCTTTATCAATGTACTGACAAAGAGAAGACATTATGTCACTTTTTCCCATCTTTTCTGAACAGCCTAACTAGACTCAACTTGTGTAGTTCAAGCAGTGCAAATGATGAAATTGAAAGCATTCTGCAGGTATAAGGAATCTCTGAGCCTTCAACCATGTGTAAAGCCTTGCCTTCTCATCTCTTTCATGGAGCTTAGACTATGTACTGTACCCAAAGCTTGTGTATGAGCTGCATCTATTCTAAAAATTTTAGAAAGGGCAACTTTTCTCCTTATGCCATCATGGAACACTTCAAGACCACATACTGGAATATTTCCACAATTTTTCTCATACAGACTCTGTTTTTATCTGACAGAGACATTGTACCCCTAATTCTCCTCATTGACTAACACAGACTTACTATATTACATCATCCAGCAGAGTGATGACTGTTTAATAAATGTATTGGAAGGCAAACCCACAACCTAAGAGCCTCATTATTTCATAATTCTATTAATGATTAGAATTTTATGCTGTTGTGGTATCATACTGTTATTCCAGGATTGTAATTTCTTCCAGTCATTGAGTTGCAAGGGAAATGATAGATACTGCTTAATTTTTTGATTAAAAAAATGTCAGGGTTCTAAATTGAAGGTCAGTTTGGGAATAAAAGTGAAACTAATTTGTGGAAGGGAAAAATTCTCTGTTTATGATGGGCAAAAACTTTCTCCACAATGTGAAAAGCTTTCATGCAATATTCATTTATACTTGTCTTTCTCTCCTCCTCTTACCTGTTTTTTGTAAGACATACATGACCAAAGAAAGTAATAGATTCAGAACTTTTCCAGACATGTGGGTTCATTTGCTTAGAACATCAATGGATCCGCTTATACGGATCTTTAACATAAACTCTGTCCTCCTGGAAACAGGTTAATTTTCATTTTTGCTATTGCAATTTTTGTGTTTAGGTTTTTTTTGTATTATTTGTTTATTTTAGTGGGTTTTCATTTGTTTCTTTGTTAAGGCTATCAAAGAAAAATAAAAAATACAAGTAGAGAAAGGTAATTTATGATTTAATGCAAAGCAGATACATCAGATTTCTGTTATGTTTTCCATTGTCCTGCAATTGCCCTTGACATGTTTATGTCGTGGCTGAATACAGTGTTCATCTACACAATATTTATAATTAAACACCTAATGTTTCTTAATTATTATAAAATACAGCATTTACTAGTGCATAAGAAGCCTCCATAGGCTTCAGGAGCAAACAGGAAATTACTTGGATCTCCTGTTGGGATTCTACCAGCATGAACTTAATGAGGGCTTCCTGAAAGATCATTTGGAATGCTGTGAAGCAAGATCATAAATGTTCAGAGACCACTTCTTGGTTGTTGTAAAGACTGAAGTCAATATAATGTACTATGATCTATCAGACTATGCTACCTCTGGGTTACTTTAATTGAGACATTCAGCCCAGTAAAACTGATCTTTATACAAAGTTTTTATTGCAGGAAGGTTGGAGATGACTTGATGTATTTTCAAGTCTTCATTGTCACAGATCTCCTTCCTTTTGTGCCACTGGATTATAAT